ATGAATCTCCGAAGTAATCCGCGCCCAAATTCATATATAAATTCATAATTTTTTCCAGAATTTCAGAATAAATTATCAAAAAAAATTACTACGAAATAAAAGTTTAAGATTATAAAATAAAAACTCGCAACTAAAAATTCTAGGATTTTCGTCACGTAAGATAATAAAAGAAATAACTCAAGAAATGAAATTACGACGAGCATAGAATCAAACAAACACCAAATACAATAATAGAAATCTAACATTCAAGTAAGAGTTTCCGAAAATAGGGGACCCTCAAAAAATAGAGTACCCCTCAATTTCGGAAATTCCCAAGTATCTCTCTATCAAAGTCTATCTTCTTAATCTATTTGGAAATCTAAATATATATAAATTCGATCAATAACGAAGATGAATATTTCTCGAAATAAAAATAAAAAAGAATTTAAATCCGCTTTTCGGAATCGACTAAATATATAAGAATATCCTCAATACTTTGAAAATAGCCAGCACCGAAATAACACCGAATATTCGCATTCTGCATGATTCTGCAGTTCACGGCATGGCGAGGCATCGGGATCCACCGCACATCGCAGCTTGTTCCGTGGAGCTGCCGTGCGGCTCGAAGCTGTTGCCTGGCAAGCAGTAGATGCAATAACAACAGCTCATGAGCTTCTGAGACTTGCCAGCACTGAGCCGGATCGCACGAGTCTGAGCCACTGCTCGGAGGGACAACTCTCACTGGCTCGCGCTAGCACAGTTTATGACGTGACAGCACACGTGCCACATGCCGTGCCACTTCTGCAGCCCGCACGCCGGCCTGCAAGCATCGCCTTGGCATGCCCTGCCTTGCGAGAAAGGCAAAACGAGTCAGGGTAGGAACATGAGGCACGAGCCACTTCCCTAAGCTGTTCGCACAGCGACCTGCACAGAGGCTTGCTGCAATGAGCACATCCGCCTGAACGAGGCTTTCGGTCCAACGAGCTTGCTGGGGTCTTTACCTTCGGACTGAGCCGGAATGTGAAGCTGCCCGCAAGCTCCGGGGCTGCATTTTACCCCTCTCTATACATCTCTGTACGAGGATTCTGAACTACTCTGAGAGGGGTGAAGGTAGTCTGAAAGGCCCAGGCAACAAAGCTCAACCTAGTTACTGCACTCTGCCAGCAAGATCTCCCCGAAAACCTTCCACAAGAGTACTGTCTCAACTTTTCATCTCGTCATCGAGCCGGCCGGCACATCAGAAAACAAGCTGCATGACCCCACGCAAGAGCCCCGACCGCCGCGTGTTGCACGACACCGTCGAATTCCTGATCTTAGTGCAATCTCAATGAAGTCGCTTCAGTCGCAGCATGTCGACTGATCAAGCATTCTTCATGGAGCATCAAGAAGCAGGGAACGGCAGGGTCGAATCTCTCCCCCTCTTCTGCTTGAACCACTCTGGTGGTTCAGTCAGTCTTGCCTGATTGTCGTGATCTGAAAGTACAGCTGCGTTGAGCTTCGATCATCTTCGATCTCCAGAAGATACTCCCTTGAAGTTGCACACTGCGATGCAATAACTGAAGCCGCGAGTACTGCTACGTGTCGTCGATCCTTGAGTACTGTTCCCGTTGCTCGAACGTACATTGCCCGAGGATTGTTACAGCTCTTCCCTTTTACTGCGGCACGACAAATTCTTCGCGACGACGGAGGTCCAGCTTGGATTGCTGTGGGATGTCGGAGCTTGCCTTTCTCAACGCTTTCGGCGTTGATGTTGCTAAAGGTGAACCATTCATGCGGGCAATCGAAGAAGCATTAGTCATGCCCGGAGTGCTTGTGGGTTCGATTCCGTGTAACACGATCGACCTCAAAAAAACAGCTCTTCGTAATACAAGTTCAGAACAACGACGATGGCCACCCTACGATTTCTCACGGTTTCTCGCAACGGCTAGAATCTGCAGCAGAAGCCATCTTCCCACCTTGGCAACCAGTGGCTCCGGCACGGCCGAAGCATTGGAGGCGGCATGTGGCTTCGGTGATGCCGACCGCTTCTTGAGCTTCGGGCCTGCAACATCAATTTCACGCCAAACTCATCCAGCTGATGATCTGCAGAAATACACTTTTGCAGATATTTCAGGATTGACACCGGTGTCATCCGCAGCTGTGCCAACACCACCAGCACCACCACGACCACGACCACCGGAGTCCTGAAGCGGCATGGCCCCTGCCGGGATATCAGTCATATCAGTCTTCCTCGAATCAAGTTTTGTTCTGTGTTTAACATCACAAAATGTTTTTTTTCCGATGTATGGGCTTCGAACCTCGTGTTTGCATAGCATACGATATACGGCTGCGGAAACGTGCTGGCAAGGTCACTGTGCGCACACACAGACAAGAAGCTTTGGCCACAGACCTTCCCATGTGCCGGCGTTTTCCGCCCTAGGTGGGCCATGTCACGATATATCCCGTGTTTGCATGGCAACGGTTGATCTTCTGATGCCGAATGGAAAGTAGTGAAAAAATGTGCAACTCATGACTCGCTGCTACTTAATTTGTTCATGTCGCATGCCCCATTCTGCTAGAGCCGATATGTCGCGGCAAGCATGCCCTACGCGGGATTGGCAGCATGCTTCTTCGCTTCCACACCATCTGCGCATGAAGCCAGCGGCCTGGCACAGCATGTAAGGGGCTGCACATGCTTCCAGGTGTTTCCCTTTCAAAGCCGCAGAGCCACATCGCTAAGGTCCCACTTGCGTGTATGGGTTACAATGACAGGTGTCTTTCCACGGCTTTTTCAAGCTATTCAAACGAGAGGCTCAGTGCCTCACCTACGCTCTCTCCTTTCTCTTCAAGCCTCCAGCAGGCTCCGTCTCCATCTCTTCCTCCCACTTGTACCAATTGGTGGGGACCACTGCGCCAGACTTCTTCAAGGCAGAGACCTCCTCTGTCGAATAGCCCAGCTCCGCTAGCACCTGTGGTGCATCCGAGCCCGCCCGCGTGGGTGCCCATAATGTTGAGACTGGGCGGCCGTCAAAGCAGAACCAAGTCGGCTCCCAGGTCTCGACGACCCAGCCCTGGCCGGCATCCTTTCTCTTGAAATGTGCCGTTGTGCTTTGGCCATCAGAACACAAGGCGGCCATCTCCCCGCAAGTCTGCACGGGAACTGCCAAGCTCTTCAGGGAGCTCTTGAAGTGTGCAAGTGCCTGCTCCACGTCCATGCTGGCGAGGGTGGCGGCCAAAGCATCTGCGTCAGCTTTCGCAGGGTCTGCCTGTCCATAGATCGACTTCCCTCCTTTGACCTTGAAGATACGGCTGTGGGATGTCATGCCTGATGCCGATGCACCTAAGGCTGATGCTGGTGGCTCGTGCTTTTGCAAGGTGAACTGAGTGAGTGATGCGCAGACAGCTAATGACGTGGACGCCCAATCACCTTGTGCACTTTGCCGCACCTCCCGAGAGTAGAGTGCTGCGACGCCAGCGAAAGTAGCCATGTACCCGGTGAGGTAGTCCACACACGAGGCTACCCCATGGAAGTTCGGGCACCCCGGAGGCCCAAAGCGAGTCATAAGCCCGACCTTGCCTTGCAATGCTGGGTCGTAGCCAGTCCAATTTGAACGTGCCGATGGCTTCTCTCCCGAGTGCGCTTTCAGCTGCAACAGGATCGTCCGCCGGTTGACTTTATCCAGGGTCTCCCGATCCAGACCCAGGCTCTGGAGCTGGTCGTCCATCTTATTTATGAGGACAATGTCGGCTCGGGCCACCAAGCGCCTGACAATTTCTTGGGCACCCTCCTTCTTGTGGTTGATGATGATGGACTTCTTGCCTTGGTGCAGCTCAGCCTGCCAGACCATCATCACCATGGGCGCGTGCTGTGGAAGGCCAGGGCCAACCTTGTAGACAGTCGCTCCGAGCTCACCAAACATCCGACCGGCCGCTGGTCCGGCGATGACATTGGCAAAGTCTACAACGACATAGCCGTCCAAAGGCCTTGGCTTTGGCTGTGAGCCTGCTGCGTCTGCAGGAGACGGGTGCCCTGTAAATTCCACCTTCTTGTTGCGCTCCATCTTCCTCAAAGCTGGGTAGTCGCCTGCGGACTTGAGCCAAGCTGTCCGTCCCAACTGGGCCTCCGGCAAGCCTTCGACATCAGCCACGATACGGGCCATCCGAGCATCTTTGTCCTGCATCCAGTCTTGGAAACTTTGAATCTCAGCACACGGAAGACCTGCGGTTTCGAACTCCTCTTCCCACTCCTTGGCCGTTTTTTCCATAAATTTTGACGCAAACAACTCCGCGCATTTGGAAGATTTCTGGAAGTCGAGCCCCATTGGAAGCGCCAAGTTGCATTCGTCAAAAGGCATATTCGTGGGATCATACGGATCCTTGTCAACTATACCGGCAGCTTCGACAGCATCCACAAACCCGAGATGCCTGCAGAACCCAACGGCAAGCCGTCGATTGAAGGTTGCCATTGGCAAAATAAAATTGCCATCCTTACATCGGTACGGTGCCATGAAAGGGTACAAACGCTGGAACAACCAGACCTGCTTGCCCGGATCCGCTATGGCAGCTTGCTTGTATTTTTTGAGGAGATCGGCAGGTAAGCCGCTCCGATGATGCGAGATGCTGACTGCGTCCAAGTGTTTTGGGAGTCCTGTCTGCTTGAGGCAGAGCGCGCCGATGGCAGAGAGGCCTGCTGCCAGGCGCGAGGCATGGATTTCCCTTCCCTTGCCGCACCGCAAACGGTCCACCAAGGCCGCTGCGCAAGCATTTGCACCGATCACGGCCGCATAGATGGAGCACAACTTCAGCGGTGTGTAGGTCGCTGGACGGTCCAACCAACCCATCATATCCATGTTTGTGAAGAAACCCGTCAAAGCGCTCAAATAATCCTCGTCAATATCATGCGACAGATGTCCGAAGACTGGATCACCGGGCAAAGCGACTACAGTACGCAACAAGATTTGATGGGGCAAACGTTGGAAGGAGTTATCGTCGCCATCCACAATAATGATGTCGATGGATGACATCGAGATGGCATCCATGGAGGAAGCGGTGATCTTGTTGCGGTTCAAGTAGGGGTCCACATCAGTGCTGTCATTGACATCGCACTCCAACACCAGGACTTCTGCACCCTGGTCTGCAAAAAGTAAGCCTGCCAGTCGGCCCGTCAACCAACAGGCCTTCTCAAGGATGCGAATCCCTGCATAAGGCAACCGCGGCCGCTCTCTCTCAGGGTCCATGGCTCCAAGCTTGACCTTCGGCACTGCACATAAACGGTAGGGAGCATATTGTGTCTAGTGCCTCATGTATAAATTATTTCTACTAGGGTTTTTTACTGGCTCCTGACAGCTACATTCCAGCCGAACGAGGGACTTGCATGCGAGCAAGGTCATGTCATCTCGATTGTGGGAATGTTCAAACATTGCCCGGCTCCAAAAAACTGCTCCATCAAAGGGACCAAAAGCAATCCACTCGGCCGACCTCTGCAGCACCAGCCAAAGCCGCCAAACCCAAAGACATGGTGCCCACAACTGGCTTCCTGAATCATGGCAATGGAAACTACCCTCCAGAACACTTACTACTACGATACTGCTGTTGCTGCTTTTGCTGCTGCCAGCAGAATTTAAGTGTAGTCGTCGTAGAAGAAGAAAAAGTAGAAGAAGAAGTAGAAGTAGAAGTGGACATAGAAGTGAAAGTAGCAGTAGAAGTAGTCGTCGTCGACGTGGAGGACGTGGAGGTGGTGGAGGTGGAGGTGGAGGTGATAACTCCGCGCATTTTTTCCTGGTTTGGGCTTCAGGCATGGCTCCAGGGAGCCATCTCACAGCTTCCGGGGAACAGAAGATATGTGTTACTCTTGCAGTGTCCACAAGGCGCCTCAGGGAGTTCTCATGATGGCCACGAATTCTAACTGGTGCTCAGTAGGGAATGGGGGAATGGATCCTTACAGTAGTCCCTATAGAATCTCCGATAATCGTCCCCATAACCCCTTAGAACCAGACAGTGTTGGACACGAACATAATTCAACGAAGGGTCTGTGCTTTAACGTTAGGTTTCACAGTGAATATTCAAGGAAGCCTGCGCACGACGAAACAGAAGACTCCCAATGCTTACGAAGAAAGCATATCTTCAACCATGTTGTGTGTTGTGTAGGCAGTACAGAAGCTAGGAGCCGAAGCAAGCTTCAAATGCGCTGTTTGGCCTCAAGGTGTGCTGGGCGTTTGCCTCCTTCCGGGATCTCTAAGTGTGCAAGAATGCGTTGGCCGAATCAAATCGCGAAAAATCTAAATTCAAAAAGCTCAGACTTTTCGGCTTTCGTGTTTTCCTGCACTTTTCTGGTTGTCGGTCTTCTCGGCGCGTCGCATGTTTCTGCGCGTTTCGCACTTTTCTGTGTGGTTCTTCTGTCTTTTTTTGTCTGACTTCTCGCGCTTTTCTGTGCTTCTCGCACTTTGCTGTGTTTCTTCTGGTGGTTCGACTTATCGCGTTTTTCCTTTGTTTTTCGCACGTGTCGTTGCTTTCTGGTTTGTGGTGCTTTCTGCTTTTCGACTTGTTGACTTTGCTGCGTTGTTCGAGAGCTTCTGTAGTTTTGGGGTTTTCAGTTTTTTCGACTTTTCGTGCTCTTCTGAGCTTGTCGAATGGTTCGATACTTTTAGGCCCTTCGACTTATCGCGTTTCATTGCGCTTTTCGATGTTTTCAAGCTTTGATGCAAGAGCTCCAGGCCGGGCTGGTCGGCTTAGCTGGCGCTGGCGGCCTCGCAAGGCCCAGCACCAAGATGTTAACCTGGATAGGGGTAAGGTGTAATGGAACATGAGTTTATTGACTACCGTCAATGTAGGTCAGTCTATGGCTGGGTTAAGGGCTGGAAGGGCAGTGGTCGTAGTAGTACCGCCACTAGTCGCAGCAGTAATTCTCAGCAGAATCGAGCTGAATGGTACACTTTGCTGAATTCCAAACCATTTCGGGTTAAGCCTAAGCCAGCCAAAACATGCAGTAGGCATTTTGGCTGAGTCTTCGGGCAATTTGGGCCACACACACGTCACAAGCAACAACGAAAGGAATTTCGGACCGTTTTTTGGGTCCGAGGAGCTCCCAGCTGCATATGTCAAGTCAAAATGTGTTTTCATTTGGTTTTTCAACCACCCCGAAGTAGCAGAAACATGTGCAGTTGTCTGATTATTGCTTGGTTTGGGGATGCGTCAGCTGATTTTCAATTCGCTTGGGAAATGCCGACTCGCAAACTTCACTGGTTCCTTTCGTATTTTGATGTGTGTATATATATATATATATATATCATTTCGTGTGTTCGCGAGGATTCTGCGTGCACGCAGTTTGCATTTTTGCCTGTTTTTGCCTGCGAGCGGGGCGGGGTACTACTACTGCGCTACTACTACTACGACTACTACGACTACTACTACTACTGCTACTACTGCTACTACTACTACTACTACTACTACTACGACGACCACTACTACTACTGCGACGACGACTACTACTACTACTACTACTACTACTACTACTACTACTACTACTACTACCTTTTTACAGTTTTTGTTGAAGGGGGGGGCCAGGATTATTACTACTCCCGACAAGCACCACCACCGCCACCACCACCACTACTACTTTTGCTGCTCTGGAAGCATACAGAAAGAAGAAGTAATAGTTCGCGGGGGAGGGTGTGCAAAAAAAAGTGCCTGATGACTTTCTCGCGTGTTTCCTGCATCGTTCCGACAGCGCCAAAAAGTGGACAATAAATACGCATTTGGGCCTATTCTTGGATCCAAAACATAGATGCTTTTAGCCGGGCTGGGTCTTCGGGACAGGCGAACTCCACAGAAGCGCTGAGTGACGTTTGACCGGACTTGTCAAGTGTTCGCTTTCTGCGATGGCTATGGACTTTGTTCTTTCGATTGTTGGCGGTTTTCGAGTTTTCGCTGTGGGCGATACATTTTTGACTTTTTGTGTTTTCGCTGTGCTTGTTCTACTTTTCGCAGCCTTCCGACTGTTCAATGCTGCTTTTCTTGAGCTTTGGACTTTCGCATGTTCAAGCTTTCTAGGTTTTTGCACACATCTCTACTCACTGCCACTTTCCCACTTTTGGCTTGTCGCATGCCGTTTGGCATTCTCTGCTTATCCGCGCCGCCAACGGCCATTCGCAAACTGTGTTCTTTGGGACGTAAACCCTCTTGACCCTTGACCCGACGTAAACCCTCTTGACCCTTGACCCGAAGCAAACCCTGACGATTGAGACATAACGCCCTCAACGAAACCTTGAAGCCCTTCTCAAGGCGAATTCTCTCAAATTAAGACTGCCTTTAACGTTTTAGGGTATCAGAGCCTGCGTTCCACCGTATTCCACCCCTTTACGGAGTTTAGGATGTGGCTCAGCTGGCCTTGGAATGTGGGCCGAATTCCCACCATTTGCTTGAGCCAATGCATCCATGCACGCACGAATGAACAAATGCACCAAGGAACAACTCAACAAGAAGAGCCCCGAAGGACATCAGTGTCCCTGGAAACTTGGAAGGTCCCTAATGTTTCAGAGATCCACACCGAGAACTAACAACTACTAAATTGTCTCCTGGTTTCGGCGTTCATCTGACCCTCCATGCAATCTGCGTGACTAAACTACCACGACCGGAAGTAGCTTAATACACATAGCATGATGGACACACGCGTCGCATGCAAGATACTTTTTGGCCTCTCTACCTTGTCCATCCTTATCAGTACATGCGAGCGAAACAACGCCGTCCTCGGTCGAATGACTCCAACAACGCAACGGTATTCGAACGACCCAAGGGATAAACTGATAAACCAGAACCGTATTGACAACATATGGAAGTACATATCTGCACTTCTGCGCTTGCGTTGCAGGTGCGAGTGTGGGCCTTGTCTACAAACATCTACGTTGGTCTGCGACAGGCCGCCTGTACAGGCAGGGCAAAAACCCAGTGGGAGAAAAAGCCCTGCCGCGGCCCAGAGAGACCCCTGGACTCCAAGCCCCTTTGATATAATAGTATATAATAGTCTACAGCAAGACAGTGGAAATAATAGTTTCGGCATGTCCAAAACAGTGTGACCACATAAATATATACATACATACACAGTAGTATGCACCATGCCAAGCAATATCCCCTGGTGTGATGAAGGAAGACTGTCAAGGCACAAACAGCCGACGACCATGCCTTCTTGTCGAATCCACTTTTGCATATTTTTGTATGGGAGAGCCACCTCTCTTTATAATCCAACCGGCCTTTTTTGATGTGGTTAAATTATTTGACTTCTATCTTGTGCAATGATAGAGTAAAAGGCACGGACGTTTACGATGCTTCTAGAACTGCACCAGGTTGGGTTTGGGACTTGCTTGGTGCCAGTACTGTAGGCGCCTACTAAACGCAACATGAACATAGGGCAAACTCAAAAGGTTCTACGATTCGGAGTCCAAGTACATGCTGAGATTGGCGAGAAACATGGATCAGACACTGGTGGTCAAACCAATCCCGACTCCAATAAACATGTAGCGACTTTAAATCAGATCTAAACAGTTGGAACTAAATCCTTTAGGGAATTTAGATTCGCGAAGAACTAATATCGAACTTAGACTTAGAGAACTTAGTATCAATCTGTCCGTCGCAAGGCAAGCAGCAGTTGCACTTTACATACAAAGTCGTGGGCACATTAGTATATACTTCTGTTTTCACAATCAACAGGTAATATTACATACTATGATATTTTCGTGTGAGTAAATCCCTTCGACATCCATGCTCGAGGAAACATATGGAATCCAGATAGTTCAGCATCGGTGGGCAAGCCGCGTCTCTAATGGGACATGGAAGGAAAACCCACCTGAGAGCCGAAAGCCTCGGCTCGGGATGCAAAGCCGGCTCCAGGTGCCAGGCAAACGGAAAGAACTGGGTTCTTCTTAGAACCAAACTATTTACTAAAGATCCTATTATGGTAACTTGAATTAAACATGAAATCCTTAAGAAGGACCCAGAGAAAGCACCGGCACCGCAGGGTGCGGCTGCGCCGCCCCCGGGCCCAGGCAGGCGAGGACAACACTACTGGATGACTTGTACGCTGTCGGTCAGCCGAGATGAAAAGGTGTGTATGTATGTGCATATACGTATATATATATATATATATATGTACATATGTATATGTATATATGTATGGTAGGAGGCGGTAGAAGCCCAACAAAGTCGCAACTTGGACAACAAAATAACAAAAACATTGACATGCCAACGACTACTTAGAGAAATGCACGATTGAACAATAATGCGCGATCAAGCGTGAGTATGTACGCATGCATGTGTGTATGGACAAGGTCACTCAGTGGTCTGTCCCTGCACGTGTTCTGCGCATGGGTGAGGCTCACAGACTTTTCCGCCCAGATGTGAGTTTCGGATGCTTCGAAATCTTGCAGCACCTTTGCATGGAGAGTGTGCCCACTCCAGAACCAGGAATCTACAACCCAGTTTGCTCCACGGTCTGCTTAGAACGTACTTTAGCCTGTGAACGATGCACAGAGAGTCTCTAGCACTAGGAGTTCAGAGTGGAGTGTTTCGAGGGATCTTAAGCCCTTTTTGTCACTCGTGCTCGACAAGTCAGACGATCTTAAGCCCTACATCTTGAATAAACATCTCGGTGCAACGACTCACGCTGGACACATTGCATGATCCAACCCCTCTTTGTTGTCGCCTCCCCCTTTCACAATGCTGCCATTTTTACAGGGTAACCAGCTTTTCGCTCTGAAGATCTTTCGGACAAATGCCGCGGCATTTGCGGTTTTCACCAACCACACAGCCCATACGGTTCAAGCTCAAACCTTTCCTTCGGCTTGCAGACCCTGAAGTCGCGGAATTCCATGTAGCTTGCGCAAGCTCAGCTCTATCAGACCCTCAGAGCTCCCATCCCTTTGGGATGCGCGAAACTCCTAGCAGATGTCAGAACCCGAAAGGTCAGGCGTTGTGGACTCTCGGGATTAAAATCAGCAGCAGCCATGCCAAGAGATCACATTGGCTCTTTTCCAGTTGCAGTGGACTGTAGGATTCTGCGATGCTTTAGATGCCGACATAGGTAGATTGGAATTGTGGTGGTTAAATTTGCCCAGGATTCCTTGACATCTGCAATCCCCCAAGCATCTGCAGTCCCTCAAAGGCTTGTAAATCAACTTGCAAGGTAGCCTCGAAACTTCCAAGTGCGCAGGCTCTTAGACTGTTTATAACGCGGTCTTCATACCATTCATACCCCAGTACAAAGTTTTAAATACACAGCCCTGCATGAACCCCGAACCCTTGGTCCCTGAGCACGGCTTCCGCAGAAATTCTCGTACTGTCATTGGCAACAACGCATGCTCACGAGGTGCATCGGCATGCCAGTGCAGTTGCCGGATGTGCAGTGGAATCCGAGCTATTAAACACTTGGTCGCCCAGCGTCGCGAGACACCGCGAGATCGATGATTTGACAGGCCTGAGGACTAAATGGCAAGAACTGGACACATGGGGACTGTTTGGGTGAAGGGATTGCAGGACTGAAAAAATCTTCTCCCCACCGGAATAGCAGGCTGAGGCCAAACCACAGTCAACCGGGCAGAGCTCTTGCTCATTCTGCCGAAAATCTCTGATCACCCCCAGCTACTGTGTTTCAACGACTAAACCCAAGGCCCTTGACCCACGTAGCCTAAACTCTAAACTGAGCTCCAAACTCTAAACCCCCACAACGGAGCTGCAGAGATGGGACAAAACCTAGCTAGCTGCGCATGCCGGGCCCGGATTCCATATGGCATTGAACTTTTTGATAGCATTTACACCACACAAGTTTTCATACATATATATATATATATATATATATACGTATAAAAAAGCAGATATACAGATCTGTATAGATAGGGGGACTACAAGGGGATACCACTTCATACCCATCATTCCGATCCCTATGTGAGGACTGCCACTTTATCCGGAACTGGGGAAAGGCTTAGGCCATTTGAGCCAAAGTTTCGGGTTTGGGTACTTTGGGTTGAGGGTTCTTGGGTGCAGGATTTTTGGAACAGTAAACGTCACTTGTAAATGCTTGGACTCTTGGGATGACGCGATCAGTAACGCCTGGTGTAAAGTAGAAGCCAGAAAGTTGGAATATGATTATCCTAAGCCCTTTATGGTAAATTATAAGGTATCCTACCCTGAAACCATATTCCAACTTTCTGGAGTTCCCTTTAGGTTGGCTAAGCCTAAGCCCTATTCGGGTTAGTCTTGGGTCGCCCTGCGAGTGGAATCCGGTGAGTGCCTTGGGCACTTCCTGGAAAGTCGTTAAATTACGATTCTTTCCCTGGGGCTCCAAAAAAGAAAGGCACCACTGCACCGCTTGCGGAATTCAGGCCGTTCGGCTCAGCCCTGGTAGAACCCGTGGCTCCGTCTTCCTTCCGGAAAATCTCAGCCCCCTCATCCTTTTTGATCCCCTCCCTAGTGACCCACCTACAGACTCCCTAAGTGCGCCAGCTCTCCGGGCAGCCGGGCCTACATCTCCAAATAGTCCGAGTTCGACTCCTCTGCTTGACGTTGCTCCGGGCACCTTTGGACCCCGTACCCAAGCACGTAAGACTATCCGAAGCACAAGAAGCACTCCTTTGTTGATTGAAGCTCGTAGTATGACAAGGTGTAATTAGTAATTAGCATGCCGGATCAAAGGCTTCCAAGCAAAAAAGCCCGGATGTGTACATGTGCAGGGTGTAAAGAGCAGGGCCTACTGGTGCTGGCGCGGGTGAGTGTGGCTGTCGAAGTTGCTGTCGGCTGTTGCCTTCCTATGGCCGTTGCCACGGACGTTGCAGTTCTTCTTCTTCTTCTTGCTGTCGTTGTGGTTGTCGTTGTCGTTGTCGCCGTACGTGGTTGCTTTTTGATTTTTGTGGGGTTTACTTTGTTGTTTTTGTTGTTGTCGTTGTTGCTGCTGTTGCTGCTGTTGTTGTTGCTGTTGTTGCTGTTGTTGCTGTTGTTGCTGTTGTTGCTGTTGTTGCTGCTGTTGTTGTTGGATTGAACTAGCCTAAGCCCAGGTGCAAGCTCACCACGTGGTGGACCAGCTCTACCGCATCCTCTGAAGGCATCTGACCCAAGCGCCAGTTGGATCGTGACAAGTCCTTCGCCAGGTTTGGGATCCAAGCCAAGCTTTCATCAGCATGCAAAAGCAAAAGGAAGCTCGCCTGCGATGTTTCTCGATTTCCTCACGGCGCCATTCGTGCAACACGCATCTGGCCATCCCTCATCTCAGCACCCAAACGCCAAAATTCCACAGACAAAGAAAGAAGCTGAAAAGAAACCTTTCGTCCAAACTCCCACACGACCGTCCTCTGGACTGCAGGTGAAAGGCCCGGGGCGTTGAGTCAAAGCGTCGACCTGGCGCAGGACTTGCGAACACAGACAGGAAGAGAGAGAGAGAGAGGGACATGAAAATAAATCTATCTATCATCTATCTATTATCTATTATCTATCTATCTATCTATATATGGTCACCCCACCATGACAGACCATCCCCTTCAAATCAAGACATCGCTCCCACCGGCGTGTTCGCGCTTTTTCCGGGTATCGAGTTTGAGAGCTCCGTACGTGTTTGTGAGACCACCCGACTCCCCCCCCTCCCCCCCCATGGTATCACCCCCCTACGGTACCCGGATCCACGTGACTGTGCACACTTCTCCCACATGGCGGCTCCAAAACCGTCAACTGTCACGAGGATCTCGTCCCGGACACACCCCATCCTTGTGACTGCGGACACTTTCCACCCGTGACTCCGATGTCAGGGTATTAAACATGCAACTGTCACGAGGATCGCGTTCCTGAGAGGCCCCGAACTGCACCACACCGCAGCGCAAGCAGGCCCAAACCCGAACCACAGGGCGGGGAGTGATGATGATGATGATGAGGCACCCCAAGCAGACCGAAACCCTGAAACACCACACCACAAGGCACGTCAGGAGATGTTGACGGATGATGATGACGACCACAGAACCACACCACAGCACCACGGGGGGGGGGGGCGAGGGAGAACCACACCACACAAAGTAACCAAAAAACAGCGAGTTTTAAGAGTTACCAACCATTGGAGGGGGAGGGGCCGGGGAGGGCCGCACCGGGATCATATATTCGTATGGTTGCTAAGAATAATACTATTACCAATGCAAGTTGTGACATTGACAATTTGTTGCATGCTCAATCAAGCTAATACCAGTGTTTATACTGATATCAACCCTTGTATTAAGGCTAGTCCGAACATGCATCATGCCAATAAAGCTAATATTTACACTAACGCTCCTACGTAAACCGATAATCATATTGATATTGATATTGGTATTAGTATGTATATTAACAACAATAGTAATGCACACCTGCAAATACAAATATACATAGATATACATACCACTATATTAGAATATCCACATATTGGCGCACTCATGTATTAATATATACATGTATTTTTCATGCAATCGAAAGTCGTACTGATATCAACATTCCTGCGAATACAACTCATCACATGTCGTGGAGACTGCACGCTACCAATTCCTTGTATCCCGTCTCATTCTTGAGAAAAGAGGATACAACAACACGAGATAAAGAGGAACGGACGTTGAAGAAAGGCCTTCTTCATGCTGCATCTTCCTACCTCCTTCCTCCGTTTCCTCCCTGCCTCTCTCCAGCCCTCTTCCTGAGGCATAGGGGCAAGATAAACTATGTGAGCGAAGGAGGACAAGTAACAACTAACATGCTGTTTCTCTCAATCTTTTTTTGATGAAGCAGACAGAAACAATGAGAAGAAGGACAAAGAAACGGCGTTCCTAAAAGTTTTGCAGGCACTGTAATGGCTACAACTGCTGTAAACAGTGTAGATTTATATATACTCTGCAGTTACCGAAATGAACATGCATGCAAGCTTGCGTTCTTTTACTGGAAAAACTCAGGGGTGTATATGAAGGAAATGCAGACTCTAGGATCTGCGAAATCCTTGATGAAGTCGAGGCTTATTTCGTGAAGAACTTATAAAAAGAACGGAATACGTTATAGCATATCCACTATTTCGCATCCGGCTCTCAAACACACGAAAACGGTAGATCCTTGAGTGAGGGGGGGTAGCATGCATGTATGTATGCATATATATATATATATATATATATATATATATATATTTATATGTATATGTACATTTCTGGCCGCCACAATGCATGCATGCTTTGGGAATGTGAGGATTTGTGGTATATTGTATGTGGCACTAACTTCTATGTACCATTCAGCAATAACTAGCACTTAGTGAAGTTCATTTTGTTTCCATCTGAACACATTGTGTGTATAGGTTCTGCATGCAGCAGTATGGGCTCTGAAGGTAACACGCAACAGGATAGCAAAGATATGTCATCTCATGTAACATAGCATCATGACAATAAGTATAGATATGAAAACAGGACCCTATTTCTACACCTCACATATGTAAGAAGCATCGAGATTATAGATAATGTCCGTGAAATCTATCGATATTTCCAGGATGCAATACCTTGTATGTAACCAAGATAATACCCTTCAGACTTTGTGGCTCAAAACCAAACTTTCCAACTTTTGGCCCCTTATAAGGTAGTTGCGAAAGTTTAAGCTTTTTAGCCGCCCCCCTAGGTATTTGGGAAGCAAGAATACCTATAGATAACCTTTCAAACAAAGGATATATAGGAAGACAATCAGGACGAGCCCAAGATCAGAGAAGCCCTCACAAAGAAGCAGCTTATTGAGTAAGGGACTTCTAGGAGTGATCCAGGAATCCCGGAATCGAAAACAATAATCTAGAGAATACCACAAACCTCAAAGAATTTCGTCCAGGTGGCCCTAGGTAATAAATTAGAGAATATCCCCTATATATCTCATAAATACGTTCTTGAGTGACCTATAGCCTATACATGACGTCATAGAACACGTTCTACAAAATAACTTTTACATTTATGTTGATGCCTTGTACAATCTCTTGCACAATGCGTTATGGAGTATCCTATAGAGCGCCCACAACATTCGTTACAGACTATGCCCTGTAAAAGCCTTATAGAATATCAGCTGCAATCCCCTACAGACTAGCTTACAGAATACCCAGTATCTATGACACCCTCTGAGTACCCCATAGGAAGTATTAAAGAAAACCCTATGGAATAGAGTGCACCATAGAATGCCTTGTAGAATACTTTTCAGATAACGCATTAATGAAGGGAAAATCAGGAGCAGAATGCTCTGCACTATACCTGTTATGTGCCCAATGAAGAAATCAAAAGCAATAGCCGATAGAATACCTTACACGATCCTCCTTCTTTACATCTTAAAGAACTTCATATAGATAACCCTAGATTATAGAAACCCCATATACCTTTTATGAACCTTGTTGGATACCCTAAAGCCTATACAATACGTTACAGAACATTTTCTGTAATACAATCCTTGCGTTTATGCTTATGCCTTGTACCATCCTTTATACAACATTGTGCAGTTCCCACAACGCCTTATGGAGTTTGCTATGGAATACTTGAAAGAAATACGCTATATTGTGCCCTTTGTAGGCCTTGCAGACTGCCATTTGCAATACCCTGGAGACTACCTTACAGAATGACCCCCGTGTCTGATACCCTCTGAGTACCGCATAGAAAGCCGTAAAGAAGCCCCTATGGAATACCCTTGGAAGGCACCATAGAATGCCTTATAGAATCATTTGACCACATCGGAGGAACCGCGATTGCACTCAAGCGGCCCCGATTGAACTCAATCGGCCCCGATTGGACTCAATCCGGCCCCCGATTGAACTCAATCGGGGCCGATTGAACTCAATCGGACGCCAGATAAAGGATTGAAGATTCCCGGGGAAAGCGTTCCACGAAGTCTTCAATCTTCAATCCGGCTCCCGATTGAACTCAATCGGCTCCGATTGAACTCAATCGGGCCAGGGTGTACCATTTTCGTGTGGTGGGGCCCTGAAACGCACGAAAATTGTAGATCCATGGGGGGGGGGGGGGGTACCATATATATATATATATATATATATATATATATATATATATATATACATATACATATGCCGAGAGACAGAGAGAGAGAGAGAGAGACAGACAGAGAGAGAGAGAGAGACAGAGAGAGAGAGAGAAACAGAGGTAGAAAGGGAGAGAGGGAGAGAGTGGGAGGAAGGAAGGAAGGAACACCACAAATCCGAAAGAGAGACAGAGACAAAAAGCTGAGAGGGAGAGGGCGAGAAATGCTGAAGTTGTCTATTTTCCATCTGGCTTCAGCTTCGACAAAATTCGGAACCACACACCAAACCTTCCAACCTCCTGACCCCCCTCCCCAAGCCTCTAATAAACCCTTTCTAAGCTACCGGACTCAAGTCTCGCCAGACTGCAAGTCGTAGCCTCCAAAACCCTAAACCCTAAACCCTTTTTGAAACCGGACTTGATGGCTGCCAGACCCTAAACCCCAGCCCGCCTCCTGCATCCACAGAGAACCAATGCGGCTGCGGGCAAGAATCGTTGGTAGCTCCTTGTGCGCCCTTGCGAGAACGCACAAGGCCCGGCCTTCCGGAGAAACTTGCACGAAACTCAAGGATTACCATATAAATATATATATATATATATATATTCCTACAATCTAGACACACATATGTGCAGCACATATGGCTATAAGTGGCTATAGTATAGATATGTACCCTATAACTATGTGCTGTGTAGCTGTAATTTTGTATATATATATATATGTACATGTATATGTTTATGTTTATGTATATGTGTATGTATATGTGCATATGTAAAACATATATGAGCAAAAACTGCGTTCATTGTCTCATAACCTGTGTAATTATTGGTTGTTGGTTCTTGTTGATCTAAACCCCTCCATCCTAGAATGACAATCTGCGCGTAAATTACATTTGCAACGCCACCGCGGAACTTTCGCGCAGGCAGGGCCTCGGGGCCTGTTTGACGGCACTCCCAGGCCTAGTCGAATGGCCCTTAATATAGCTATTATATTCCTATTATATCGCCCATTATAGGGTAGGGGTTCTTATTAGGGTCCCACAGCTGTGCCCTGCCAAGCCTCTGAAAGGCTTCCTGCGAGCTTTTGCTCAAGCATTGCTTGGCAAGGACTTGGGTCAACTCCTGGTCCCCCGGACCCCAACGCTTAGAATCTTAGAACTCGCTCGCTGGCATTGATATTAAACTTCCGCAAAACATACAAGCCGCTTACAAGCCTCTGTCGTCGCTTCTATCTACGGACATCTATGAAATACAGCTTGCTCGGATGCCTTCGCATACTTTCACTGCTGCCTGGAACATGCGACTGCGGATGTCCTCGACTTCAATTGAACCCGTGTTCTGACACCGAACCCCACCATCCTCAACCACAAGCTTTCTACTTCAAGACCAGCTCTACAAGCCTTTCATGGTCGACCTTATCATCCGCAAACCTTCCAGGCGTTCTTTGCTCCAGAGCACAGCTCAAAAATTCTCTGGGGCCTGCCAAAGCGTGGAAGTCGCCTTGGCCCAGCTGCTGCAGCCATAATACTGCGAACTCCTCCATGGCCTTCAGGGCATAAGAATCTCGCGTTAAGCTACTTCTTAGAAGAGCTCTGCGATGCTTGCCAGTATTGCGAGGTTTTGAAGGTAATGTAGATGCAGGGGTGTTGAGAGTCAAGGCGTGGGATGAACAGCACATTTCAGTTGAGTTTCTGGCGCCTCCTGGTCCCCTGCCGAATTGTAAAGCTTGAGTATACGACACCGAACCTCTGATGCGCACGTTTCTGCCATTGTCACGTCTTGCAAGAAATGCGAGACAAAGCTCGACGCTCTGGCAACCTGCGACTATGAAAACTCAAAACTCCATCTGCTTCAGGACGATTCTCAAGACTTCTCAAGTGATGTGTTCATCCGATCAGGGCTACGCGGCACTTCGAGCTCCGCATGGCCTTCAAGAGGACTGCATGCTGGAAGGCGGGCCCAAGGCGTAAGACCGCACCACGCGCCCGCCGCGCCGCCACATTCGCTGAGGAACCTGACGGAGTGCGGGGCGTGGGGTTCGGGCTAATTGTTTCTAGATGGCAACCGGAGGGGCCTACTGTATTTGCTTAGATTACATCAAGAAGGACACCGTATATATCACCCAAGCAGTCGACCTCAAAACCGTATTCGAGCTGTTCATGGCTACCCCGAAAGATCTGTAACTAGCTGCACCGAAGAAGAACAGGTTCAAAACCGACATTTCTACGGCAGCGGCTTAAGGTCAAACTGCCTCTTCTAACAACTTAATATAAAAGTTGAAACTAACTACATGTACGTACCCGTCACACGGTCCTGAAACGTTTGCATGGGTACCAAGTGTCGAAGCAAGCCTGAAAACGTTTGTTGGAGACGAGAGTGTGAAGGGGGGAGGGGATGGGGAGGATAGAAAGAGGGGGAGGAGGGGTGCGTTTCTGTAGGATGCCGAGCCTTTAAGCTACTGGCTAAACCGTTGCGTTATATCCGACATGCTTGAATTACCGTTTACATGCGGCCACCAGTGACTAGAGTGACTAAAGATTCAAGCTACTTCTGCCAAGCGTAGGAAAACAAGCCATAGCCTGTGGCCCCCTAGTGAACGACCTGTCGGGGTGATCGGGGCGGGGGTGAGCCTTTGGGAACATAGAAGGGGGTTCTGAAAATTAAGGGTACCTGAGATGGATCGAATAGCAAATGCCGGCCAGGGAGCCCACCAGGGTGCTGAGTGTCCTCGTGACCACCGTGAAGGCTTTGCGCGGCGTTGCAGCCTTGGTACATAAATGGCATTACTTGACCCTTTGGCATCGTGGGTGCTTTGGACATGAAAGCTTACGCACGCACACATACATACGTACCAAAATGTGTATGTATGTATGTATGTATGTATATATGTATATATATATATATGTGTGTGTGTGTGTGTGTGCGTGTGTGTATGTATGTATGTATGTCTGTATGTATCAATGCATATCCATGTATGTGTGCGTATGTATGTGTGTATGTATGTATGTTTTTCTGTTTGTATCAACGCTCTAATGCACCCGCCTACAGGCATGCAGGTATAAAGCTGAATCTTTGTATGCATGCATGCACGCATTCGCTCTGGTTGCTCGCACAAGTCTCGCGGTGTTCGCAGCTGAAGACCCGCGGCATATGTCAAAACTGTACATATCTTATATATCTTATTGGAGCAAAGCTCACGGCTTGCCGAACAAAGGCAAAGAAACAGTAATGATGCTGAGCCGAGCCATATTGAGCATTTATCAGACAGTACGCTGAGATGCTAGGCATTTTCTATTTAGGCGGCAGGACCTAGCGTAAACTGCAAAAACACGGCAAAGGATTGAGGACCAAGGATAACTAGTGCTGGGAGATCCTATACATTGGTCTCAAAGATTGAATCTACTGGGTTTCCAACATATGGGCTGCTGCTGTACCATGATGAACCGAGCCAGCCCCCTCTCGTGAAGGCTGGGAGGGATGACCAAACAACAAGGTCTAATTATTGTCGAGATTCTGGGGGTCAACAAGGATTCAAGCGAAGGCTAGCCTGTCCCTTGGTTTGCTCCCATTACATTACAAGGCTACGTTGCAAGATCCAGCCCGCGGTTACACACTTAAACCAACCGCTCGCCGCAAACATTCAACCCCGATGGCCCTCAAAGCGCTCATCCATACCGTCTCAGCATTGGGCTTATGGCCCTGCTGTGTTCAGATCTATGGCAAGCAACGGTGATCTCATCTGTCGTGAATGACCAGGTTAGAACAATCTTTTCGCCCTCGTCCTCCTGACCGTGGGCGGCGGGCAGTTGTGAGTTTAAGCAAACACCGAAAACGTCTGGCATACTTCAAGTCAACCTTGAAGATTCGGCTCCGCCTCGACGTTCGCAGAAGGAAGCAGGAAACTTCCCGGGCTCTAAAACGTAAAGTGCTAAGCGCAGGAGGCAAAGCGGAGTTTTCCTCCGGAGCAGTAGAGCTACCTGTGACACGGCAACACGTACGATGGTAAGACAGGCCTCACCACGTGAGCAGTGCGTATGCTTTCGGCGGGGGTAAATTAAACATAGTAAATGCATCTTGTATACTCACACATGTATCACACATTTGTATATATATATGTACAAAAGCATATGTATATATATATATATACATATACGTATACGTATACGTATACGTATACGTATACGTACACATATACATATACATATACATATACACATACATATACATATACATATATATATATATATATATACATATACATATACATATACATATACATATACATATACATATGCATATACATATACATATACATATACATATACATATACATATACATATACATATACATATACATATACATATACATATGTAATACATATACATATACATATACATATGTAATACATACACATGATATCCATACATAAGGGCCTTCATACATACATACCATACAGACCTACATACATACGTACATACATACACGCACACACACACGGACAGCCAGGTCCTGGAACAGAGGCAAAGCTATGCGGAGCACGAGGCGCTTGAAGCCACCTCAAGACTTGCTAGACAACTTTTCGGTTCGGGGTCTAGGGCCAGGGTTTAGGGCAGCTGATGACACGGTGATCAGAGGCAGAGGAACTTTGCATCAAATCTTGAGGTTGATTCGTGGGTGCGGAGCAAAAAATGTTCGCAGGTTTATTTTGGTCTAGTTTCGTCCGGCCTAGAGTGCCGCTCTCGGCTTGTGCCGTTGCAGAGACGCTGCGAAGCATCTGGGCAACCACATGGACAATAACGTAGCCACAAGCCAAGATGAGACTGAAGAGCAGCATGTAGGCAATCCTCCCAACACGACTGGTTGGCGTTTAGTGCAAAGGGTCCCGCTTTTACGAAGAATCTTGAATTTCGTCAAAGCAGGTTATTTTCATAAGTATTGTAAACATTTTCGCTGCACCTTTCTGAGCTGCAAAGATCTACGTGTGATGCACTACTCGCTCGACGACGGCAGTTTCGGGTTGGGGTTTAAGTGCTGATCTCAGTCCTGACGCCTTGCAACAGGTGATGCAATTCAGAGATGGAGGTCCATGCCAAGACTATCCAGAGAATCACAAGACTAATGAGGCTATGCATGCACGTAACGGTAACGATTGAAATGGGGCAGCCCCAGAGATGGCGCGCTTCCGCATGGGTGGCCACCCCCTCCCCGCCAAACGTGCAGAACGTGGGAGGAAGCCTATGCAAATCGCATGAAAAGCGATCGGAGAACCCCGACTTGAGTGCACCGCACTGAGCGAGCGACCTCCCAAAAAGTTGAACGACCGACCTCTCCGAAAAGTTTAGTGCACCACATTCCGTGAGCTGACAGAACCAAGTCGACGAAGAAGAGGAAGACGACGAGGAGAAGAACGACGCAGAGGGAAGAGAAGGGAGGAGGATGGAGGAGGGAGGGTGGTGGAGCAGGGAGGAGGGTGGGGAAAAAACAACAACTACATCTCCGATTGCGTGCAGTCACTCCTTGTCATGACAAAAACCGACGTAGCCAAAAGTGAAGATTACATTCGTTGCCTGCCGAGCATTTGCTTTCAGCCTTCTCTGTTGTGTTCACCTTAGAGTCACTCTTTCAAGTGTTCGTATCTGCCGCATGAACGAATGAACCCGCTTGAAGAGGTGGATGTAGTAACATGCATCCGACATCGTAAAAACTACACGATGCCGCCTCGCGGACATCAATAAATACAACACGTACATGCTCATCCCACCACACGGAACCCTTGGAACAGTTGGATTTTGCTTGTATGCCTTCCCGGCATGCCTTCCTGTCGCAGCAGTCCCACATCAGAGCTTAAGGGAAGCTGGGTTGTAAATTTAGCGCCCCCCGTGGAGTCTCTCCCAAATAAGACCACCTGACAAAAGCGGTATCATGCCAGATTACATCGCTCAGTCGCTCAGGAAGGATGGAACTATTACCATTTCGCTCGCGAACCTTGGTGGTTTTTACATTCACACATGCTCGTAACCATTGCCACGTGAGACCGTTGAGGTAGGGATGGAGACAACTGTCGTATCATTTTCCCACATGTCGACGAGTGCGGAGTGGTGGACGACTCCATGATATTCATTCCTTACCTGCTGCAATATTCCAACCAGGGCCGCGATGCGCAAACTCCCAGTGACCCGGTGCTGCGGGCGTGGCTGAGACAGGAGTGGAGCGACTCGGAGTGAACCCGTTCACATCCCCAGGCTATGACTTTGCTGCTGACAATGCTTTTTGCTGCCCGTGCAACTGTTAATGAATTCTGCACAGCCCTCGGAAAACCAGTAGCTAGCCACTCCTGGAACATAAAACCTTTAAACCGCTTCGGCCTGTCATGATAATCTAGAATAGCCTCACAGGCAGTCTCACAGGCCTTGACATGATCCCGCTCTCAGGGTTAAGGATCATCAACGCGGCGACTCCACTGAAAAGGAAGAAGCGGACGGATGCCAAAGTCACCTGGGAGTCCCATGTCTAAAAGACATAGACATCGAACATCACTGCATCTTGCATATCAACAGCCTACATGGCTTTGAGATCCGAATGTCTACTTGAAAGCGAAACTCGCCATGTATCCTGCTGCATCTGGCCTCCAGCACATCCAGGATCTCGGCCTGGTCGTTGGCGTAGGGCTTGACCCAGGCGGCCAAAACTGCCTGTGGAACACAACTCGAGGCTGTCTTCGTGAAGCTGCACTGTGTGGAAGCCAAAAGGGCCCAAGCGATTTCTCGGGCCACCTCATGCTGACAGTTAGACCCAGTTAGGGGGTTGGCATTGCGTTGAAGCGTGATCAGCGCGGGACTCAATCCTTCCAGAAACGGAAGAGATTGAGGGTATGGTAAATAGGATCTCTCATGTGGTCAGCCTCTGCGGCAATGCTTGCGGAATGGACGGACGGACAGTCTACTACTACTACTACTACTACTACTACTACTACTACTACTACTACTACTACTACTACTACTACTACTGCTGAATCCTGAAGCACTGCCTTTGTACAGGACCATGAGTGGAGCTTGTGGTTTGCAGGACCTTGTTGCTCCGTCAAGCGGAGTTTGGCTCGAGGAGCCATGATCGACAGAAGCCAGCAAGGACTTGATGTCTTAGTTTGCGTGCGTAAGTCAAGATCCTAGGTTATGCACAGATGCACTTAGGAACACACGCACTTTGTTGCTGTGCCGGAAAAGAGTGAAGGTTGTCTCTGCCCATGGTCGTTGCGGTTCCTTCGGGGATCATCCGATAAAGGTTGGAACGATTCTTCGAAGGAGGCGTCAAGCAATGCAGGTTCCAGCTGAAGAGCCTACTCAGGGTGTTCTTCAGGTGATGAGCCCAAGCGCTCCTGCTGTGCGAGAAGGAGCTTCGAACAGAGCTGGAACTGCTAATGGGTCTGCTGAAGGGCTAGTGAATGGTGTAGCCCCTGCCGCTTCGCAGACTTTGACGCAACCTGTGAGACATGGTGCAGAGAACGTAAGCCCTTCTGATCTTGAGGTGATGAGAGCTCTCCAGGACCAGATCGGTGGCCCAGACTTTGGTGGCCGGGCTGTTGCAGAGGACGCTGTTCAAGGGGTTGTTCAGACTGTAGTGCCTGTTCAGACGATGGATGGTGGTCAGGCTTCGATGGCTGCAGCTATGGCGTTGGAAGACGGGAGTGTTCATGCTATGAGGGCTGATATGGAAGTGCAGCAAGGTTCTTCTTCGTTGACGGTTGTACGCTGGATTTCGAGGTTGAACGACTTCCTGACGACACAAAGCCAGTCTGTGTTGGGTTCAGTTGGGTTTAATACGACGCCTACTCAGGGGCCCCGACATTTAGGACCAACACAACAAGCAACCACACCCGTCACCACACCAACACGCAGTCAGCAAGCAGCAACAGCAGCAGCGAGACAGAGGCCATCCTCGCAAACGTCACCTCTGGTGTTTTCCCCGCCGGAAGAGTTGCCGCAAGGCAGACAGCCTTGGGGACCTGACTACCCGATGCAGGAAGCTCCGTTGTTCTCTCGAGAGGCCTGGGAGCAGATGATGAGGTTTTCTCAGCGGGCTCCGTGGCTTTACGGTCGAGGAGGGCATTCACAGGGTGATTCGACTACGGGGTCTTCAGAGATTCAGGCGGAGGTGCAGCGCCAGATGGAGGGCTTGATGAGAAACCAGTCAAGACAGCTCGATGAGATGCGCGAAGAACTTCAGTACCTGAGAGCTGAGAGGGCGGTGCTTGCAGATCGCTTAGCTCGGGGCGGGGACCAACGTCGGGTTCAGCATGAAGGGGACGATGGTCTTCGGCATCAAAGTGATCCTCGTGGTGAGCGGTATGTTCAGCATGAAGAAGACGATGGTCGTCGGCATCAAAGTGATCCTCGTGGTGGGCGTGTTCAGCATGAGGAAGACGATGGTCGTCGGCATCAAAGTGATCCTCGTGGTGTTAAGTATGTTCAGCATGAAGGAGACGATGGTCGTCGGCATCAAAGTGATCCTCGTGGTGACACAGTTTATGTGCCTAGCCAGTCAGTCGGTGGTCCACATGTGCCTAGCCAGTCAGTCGGCGGTACACAAGTGCCTAAGTGCCTAGCCAGTCAGTCGGTGAGTTTCAGCAGAGCAGTGGCGCTGTCTTCAGAGGGGGTTTTCCAGATGCATCTCAAGGACCTCATGGAGAACCAAGCCTAGGTGGTGCCGTTGTCGACTCTGTGAACCTTGGTGACGAGCAGAACAGGAATGTCCGACAGAAGGTTGGTGAGGGACTAGCTGGAAGTTCGTCTTGGAGAATGCCGAGTGGCCCGCCTACTGTGTATGGACCAGGGATCAGCGCTACCAGGTGTGAGACCTTGGGCAGTGGCTGCCCAGCACCGTCTTCAGCGCCAGGTGTTGCGATTGCTCGGCCACCATCTTCAGGAGGCCAGCAAATTCACTCTGCCGTCACGAATGAGAAGCTCTTGGAAACGCTGGCAGAGGGAATGCAGCAGCTGCAACGGGCTCAGTTGAGCCAAATGGAGCGCGGTGAAAGGAAAAAGGAGGAAGAGGCGCCGGAACAGTGCAAGCCGGGGACGACAACACTTCCTGCCTTACCTCCTCCTAGTGGTCATGAGAGTGCTGTGTCTCTTCAGGACTGGATCGAGGTGATTGACGGTCCGCTCAGGGACATCTCGGATAGCAGCTCGTGGTGGTGGGATTCTGTGAAGGAGAGAGCGGCTATGAGTTACCAGAAATGGGTGGCTTCGGGTCCTTATGAGAGGCTGGCTCTCAAACCGCCAACCGCGGACGACCTCGAGAAGGGCAAGTACTCACGCTTGAGTGCGAGGACGGCGGGGATGATGCTACAAGCGATGCCTGAAGTGGTGAGGACTGAGACGGTGGCGAGGGCGATAACAAGATCACCAGTGGCCCTACTGTTTCGCTTGTGCACGATGTACCAGCCGGGCGGTGAGAGCGAGAAGGCCTACATCCTCCAGTACCTGGTCTCCCCGCCCAAGGCAACTACGGCCAACGAGTTGGTGACGATCCTGCGTCAATGGGAAAGGCTTCTTTTGAGAGCTGATAACCTGAACATCGCGAAGCCCGATCCGTCGCTGTTGGTGCGAGGCTTGAACGTTCTGGTGGCAGAGCTGTGGGCCAAGGACCGGGACGTGATGTTCAGAACGCAGTTGGTGAAGAGCAAGCTGGGGGTGGATGTGAACCCCACCTGGGAGTCAGCTCTACAGCTACACCAGCACTTGAGGGCCGAGTCTGAGAACTTGGTGAATGGACTGCCTACAAGGCCGACTGTCACTGAGCCCTTGAGAGACCCTAAGCTCCGACCTTTGCAGCCAAGTGGCCAGGGACAGCCGAGGCCACCAACCACAAGCACTACCACTACAACAACGACGGTGCCTAGTGGTGGAGGAGCAGGAGTGGGAGAGAAAAGATGCAAGTGGTTCACCGAGCCAGGAGGGTGTCGAAGGGGAAGTTCGTGCAAGTTCGTCCACAGCTTTGAGGGCGTCTCGAAGAAGGATAGATGCTACACGCGTGGGGCGGAGGGCCATCAGTCAAAGGCGTGTCCGACGAAGGCGGAGGGCGGTGAGGCTGGGAACCCAAAGGCGAAGGCCAAACCAAAGGCTAAGAGTGCGCCCGGCACTCCTTCTTCGAAGGACGAAGCGGCGAAGACCGTGCCTGCAGCGAGAGCAATGACCACAGAGCCTGAGCCACCGCCGTCGGCTCCTACGTCTCCGGTGACTGGAGAAGGCGGTGGAAGTGATGTGAAGGATGCCCTGCGAGATGCAGCCCAGGCGCTGAGATCAATGATGAGCTCACCGGGCCGCAGTTCGACCTCTACGGCTAACACCTTGGAGAGTCTTCAGAAGCAACTTGATGAACTACGACTGAAGGCCATGAAGGTGAATAGAGACGTGGTGGAATTGAAGAAGTCGCGACAGACGCCGCTGGACGCTCGAGTTTTCGAGGATTTGCCGGCTATCCCCACTTTGATTGACTCTGGTGCCACCCATATCCTTCGACAACCTCGTGATGAAACTGAGTTGGGGGCAGCCAAGAGGGTCTCAGTTACCCTGGCCAATGATGAACGGCGTGATCTACTACAAGCTGAGTCCGGGGCGATTCTCTCAACCTCACCAGAAACCCAGCCCATCTTGCCGATGGCTGAGCTTGTGAGTGCGGGGTGCGAAATCAGTTGGAAGCGTGGCGTTTTCAAGGTGATTCATCCTGTGTGGGGTGAGCTCAAGACCTCGCTACGTGGTGGATGTCCAGAGCTGGCACAGGACCAGGCCGCCAAGCTCGTGAACCTCATCGAGGAGAAGAAGCTCAGGGAGTTCGAGGACGGTGTGCAGCTCCTCCAGAGCAAGATTGAGCACTTGATCCATGAAGAGAGGTTGCCGTGGACCACCTATGCGATGAGGTATGTTGAAAGCGGCTCTGCCAAGAACTTGTGGAGGGCGGTGCATGGATCCTTCATGAAGGGGTTTTCGGAGAAGGTTTTGGACACCCGGAGGTGCGACTAGATGAGGGTTGGAACACTTTGAAGGCGCTACCTCTTCCACGGAGACTTCGGAAGAGGATGATGGAGTCCACTCGCTGGATCGTTCACCTACCTGTCCATCGCGACGAAGCGTTGTTGAGGCCGGAGACCTATGGAGAGGATGCTGTGGTGGTGTCGGTCCATGGAGGTCTACTTCCTCAAGCCTACGAGGCACTGATGTGGGGAGCGGCGACGGGACGGATTGCAGCTGTCACGGGCGCTACTCCAGCGACCTCAGTTGGAAGCGAAGTTCAGGCTGTGAGGTTGGCCCGGGCTATGCTGTTGTATGTTGTTGGGAGGCTGGCGAGACCTACGGGACGAACAGGTTTCTTCTGGACAAAGCCAAATGGAACCAACAACGGCGAGGTGGTTGACCTCCTGAAGGAGTTCAAGAAGGCGGCTTCCATGAAGGAGATTGAGTTTAATCAAGGGGCATGGGGCGGAGGACCACGGAGGCCAACGGTGGCGACTACGAACTACGACCTCGACTGCCTGAGGAAGGACTATCCTGCTGAGGAGGGGGCCGCAGAGGTCATCGGAGCTGAGTGGCCTATGGCAATGAAGCAGGTTCTCGCGAAGACGATTGGAGAAGATCGCTTCAAGTTCCAGGCGGTAAAGGAGGAGAACACCCTTAAAGCAATGAGTCCCGAGCAG